GGCCCCCAGCTTTCCCGGCCTCAATCTTTCCCGTTTTGGGGGTTTTGCCGGGGAACCTCTCTTTGGCGGCCTTTTGTTTTTTTTTTTTCCGGGCCGGGCCCTTCCTTGGGCCGTCCCCGCCCCCGCCCGAGGGCCCCGCGGGGGTCCTCCCGTCCCCTGCCCCCCTCGGGGGAATTCCCCTTTTTTTGTTCGGTCTTTGGTCCCGGTCCCACCTTGGGGGGGGGCCCCCCCCCCCCCCCCCCTCCTCCCGCCGCTTCGCCTCAAACCCCGCCTCCCGACGCCCGCCCGCCCGCCCGTGTCGTCAGACCCTCTCGGAGGAGCTGACCAACTTTGAGCAGACGGAGGAGCACGAAGGGCTCCAGTCATGCGCCGAGGCCCTCGGCGACGCCAAGCTCCTCCGCCACAAGGACCCCGAAGTCAAGTGAGCGCCTCTCGCCGCCCGCTGCCCTGCGCCCCATCGCCCGCGCCCTGCCCCCGCCTCCGCTCGCAACCGACTCGCACGCGGCGCAGCGGCGGGAGGGCGCACGGGCGCGCAAGGGGCGGACACGGGCGAGGGCAGTGTGTGTGTACGTGGATCGCGCGACGGGGGTGGCGGCGTGAGTCCGATGGGGAGAGAGGGCCCGGCGGCTCCCCCAGAGCTGGCGCGTGCAGCGCCTCCCGCCGCCCGCCTCCCGCCTCCCGCCTCCCGCCTCGCCTGCGCACCGTCCTCAACCCGCGCGGCGGTGCGCCAGGCTGCTCACCGCGTGCTGCGTCTCGGACGTGCTGCGCATCTACGCCCCCGACACGCCGTACTCCCCCGACACGCTCAAGGCTCCTTCCCCCGCCCCCGCCCCCGCCCCCTCCGCCCTGCAGCCCCGCCCGCCGCCACTCGCCGCCGCCCTCGCCGCCGCCGCCGTCGAGAACTGCAGCCATGCCACGCTCCGGGGCTTCAGTTCACTCAGCTTTCCCCTCCCCGCCCCCGCCCCCCCTCCCCCCCCTCCCCCTCAGAACGTCTTTGAGGTGCTCATCCAGCAGCTCAACGGCGTGCGCGACCCGAAGAGCGGCTCCTTCTCCCGCTACTTCTACCTCCTCGAGCGGCTCGCCATGGTCCCCGCCCCCGCGCGGCTCCTCCACCTGCGGAGAGCGCGCCGCCCGACGCCGGCCCGCCCTCCTCGAGCGCAGGTCAAGTCCTTTGTGCTGATGATTGACCTCGAGTGCCAGGACCTCATCGAGTCCCTGTTCGAGGTCCTGTTCGACGTCACCTCCAAGGAGCACGGCGTGCGCGTCGAGGGCTTCCTCCTCGAGATCCTCGTCGGCATCATCGAGGACCTCGACGCGGTTCCGCCGCCGCCAGACACCGCCGAGCTGTGGCGGAGCGTCCCTTCACACCGCCTTTGGCCCGTGAGCCAGGTGCCGCAGCCGCTGCTAGACGTCGTGCTCGAGAAGGTGGTGCAGCCAGCAAAGGCAGAGACGCCGCGGCCTTGCGGCGCTGCCCGAGTCGAGCCGAGACTCAGCCGAGCTCCGCCGGGACAATAGGCGGAGAAGCCGGCGGCGTACGCGCTCGCGCGCCGCGTGCTGCAGCGCTGCTCGAACGAGCTCAACGCGCCGCTGCACCACTTCCTGCAGTCGTGCCTGCCCAACTCGACCCTCGAGCGCGTCGAGTCGGACGTGCGCGACGAGTGGCCTCACCTCGTCGTCGAGGCTCCCTCCGCCCGATCTCGGGACGCATCTCGAATCTCGGACACCTCTCGGACACCTCTCCATCTCGGCCCGCCCCCCTCCTCACGCCTCCGACGTGCCAGGTCGCGAGCGCGGCGCCCGACGTGGTCAAGTACGTCGTGCCGCAGCTGAGCGAGGTCGCGACCATGGAGGAGGAGGCGGTCCGGCTCAAGGCGACGCACCTGCTCGCAGACCTCTTCGAGTCGGGGCAGCGCGTGGAGCACGACTACCCCGCCCTCGTCACCGCCTTCAAAGGCCGGCTCAACGACGTGAGCGTCGAGGCGCGCGCCGCCCGCCGCCGCCAGCTCGCTCTCTCTGACACCCTCTCGCGTTTCCATCGCTTTCCGTCGCTCCCAACCCCTCTCGCCCTCTCGCCCCAGCCCCCCCTGCTCCACCTCCCACCCCCCTCTCTAGGTGCGCCGCGCCGCCGTCGTGCGCTGCGTCGCGCTCGTCCAAAAGTCGGCGCTGCTCTCCGACCAGCTGCTACCGGATCTCACGCAGCGGCTGTTCGACGGCGAGGACAAGGTGCGCGCCACCACCATCAAGGCGGTGTGCGGCGCGTGCACACTGCGCGTCGAGCCCTTCGCCGAACTGCTCAAGGACATCGGCGGACGCATCTTCGACCGGCGCCCCGCGGTGCGCTCGGCGGCGCGCGCGGGCGTGTGCGCCATCTACGCGCGCCAGATGGGGACCGAGTTCAAGGCCACCTCGCGGCGGAGCTGCGGGGCTCCTTCCGGCGTGGGACGGCGCCTCTTGACGCCTCGCATCCGTGGCTCACTATAGGCTGTCGCGGCGGAGGAGGTGTCCCCGCCGGAGGGCGTCGAGTGGGCGCCGGCGCGGCTGCTCCAGTGCTACGGCGCGGAGGCGGGCTCCGACCCCGCCTCGCGGCTCGAGCTCGAGGACTTGCTGCAGGACAAGCTGCTGCCGAGCTTCGCGGACGAGGCGGACGCCGAGGCGCTCCACGCGCGCGCTCTGACCGTCGCTCACGGCGAGCTCGCGCCGCTGCAGCGCAAGGCCTTCCTCTCGCTGCTGCGCGCCAAGCGGCTGTCGCAGGACCAGCTGCGCAAGTGGCTCGACCTGCACCGCGCCGTCAAGGAGAAGCGCGCGAGCGGCAGCGCCAAGGAGGAGATGGCGAGGGTGGCGGCCGCGTCGGCGGCAAATTTCCCCGAGCCCGCAAAGGCGACACGCCCGCTGCCTTCCCCGCCGCCCCTCTCCTCCTTGCCGCCGCTCACTCCGCCGATGCCTCCTCCCCTCCCCCCTCCCTTCCCCTCCTCACCTCCCTCTCTCCTGCCCTCCTGCCCCCCTCCCCCTCCC